TTTTAAATAGCCTGGTTTTGTCTCTCACGAGGTAATGACATCAACAAAATTCAATCTGATCCATGACCATCTCCTAAACACTTGATCTTACAGCCAAGCTCGCAGTGGGCAGTTGAAATAAACAATCAGGGACCAACAAGTTCAACAAGAAACTTCCAGAGAAATAAACCACGAAATAAACGAGCTAATTCCGAAACCTGTGAATAATTAACAGTTTGCTACTGGTCTAGATTTCCATGACCTTCAGCAGCCTGCCTGCTGGCTGCTGCCAGCCCCTGGGAGAAAAATATGCAATGTTGTGGGTCTTGGAGTGAAATGGAGTGGGCTTGTGCATCTACAGTCATCCTAAAACAATCAAAGCAGCAGCAGCAGCAATAATAAATTGCCATGGGGGGGATCTGCAAAATGCCAGTATGAATGTCATCTTATTTTTTTATTTTTTTTCCCTTCTCCAAGTGTTGTCTCGCTGCCTGGTGGATACAGGTTGTTGAAAACTGACTGACTGAAAACATGCTGGTGAAGCATCACATGATGTTTGAGACAGAAATGAAATATTTAACATACATTTCTACTGCAAAAGAAACATAAAAGCACAACTGAACTGTACTCTGATATTCCAAACAGGAAATGACAGGGAAATCACTCCAATCCAAACCTGGCAGTTCCCTAGTGATGAAAGCCCAATCAAATTATAAAAGGAGCTCTACCAAGCTCATTGCCACAGTCACTACTTGAGGCAGAAGGTCTGTGAAATGGAATAAGAAGCCTCCAATCACACACTTTTAGATTTGGCAACCATATTTTTCCTGAGGGACTATAAAAAAAAATATTTTGTAAACATTTTCGGTTCCCATCACTTGAAATTAAAGAGAATAATTTCTGTTAATGCTCGGCTAGCACTCAACTAACGAAGCCATTTTCTCTCTGGACTCTTTTCCTCCTCAAACATTCTCTGACGCTGGAATTATTTTCACAGATTGTTTTGTTAGTTCTATTGAAATAACCCCTAAAATAACCAGATTTCTGAACAGGTAGGAATCATGAAACTATGGAATCTGTTGCCAGAAGCAAAGGCCTACAGCTGACTATTGTGTCTCTCTGCTATGAAATAACTTGCATTAAACAGCGTTAAGTTTCTCTGAAGATGGACATCAAAACATTTTTTCAGAACTTTTCTTTAAGATTTAGAAATGCTACAAAATATTGGCCAAGTCATTTAAATGACTATTGAAAATACCATCTTTAATAGGCACATCTACCTACAGATGTGATTCATTTCGGTTTCCTGTGTCAAGTAACCAAAATTGAGTACTTTAGACCAAAATCATGCCTTCAGGACAAAGAACACTAAACTGAAAAGGTCAGGTAGTGACTCATCTAAAAATGCTGCTCAAGTTATTAAAACAAATGTTGCTCTGATTTATAAAACCATCCCATACTAATCAAGAGAAAACACGGGGCTGCAGAGCTATTAAGATGCCCTCTAAAGGGGAGCTCTCAAGCACATGCAAAACTTGAAGAAATTTTAATCTCCTTGGAATTAAATGCAAAATTCCCCAAATGTCAATAAAATCAAGATTTCTTCTGCTAAAGAACATTGGTATAAGGACAAGCGAGCACAACTGGCAACGAATAGTTCCAGAGGTAAGACATACATATCAGAAAAATGAGGTTCTGCAATTGTCCCCAGCTGGAGCAACAGGAGCAGAAGATGTAGGGCATCTAAAACCTCTCTAGGGAAAGGATCCCACCACCCAGCTGTGATGGGGATGGATTGTTTGATGATCCAGCGTGTCCCTGACAGTCAAACAATGCCTGCACTGTAGCACTTCAGGTAACATGTTGGAACATAAACCTGCAAGTCCAAGAGCAGAGTCACCAGCAGAGCTGCCGCAGAAGAATTACACTTCTCACACAAAAATAGAAAGGGATGATAACTTTTACCTTCTCCCTAGAGCCACCACTGTCCCAACGAGGACCAGCCCCAGTTTTCAGGAGCACCACAAGGAGCTGCATTTGCAGCGTGCCCGTGATTTGAGGATCCCCAGCAGCCCTCAGTGCTCTGATTCTGTCACAGATCAGCTGTGTCCCCTGTGCAGCCTCACACTGTGACAGTGGCTATTTACTGACCCACTGGTGAGCGCTGTACCTGCCATTTCTCAGGCAAACTGAAATGGGAAACAGGGAAAACCAGCCCTTGGATCAGTGGAATCGATCTAAGACAGAAACAATCTTTGCTCATAGAGGGGTGTTTGCATCTCCACACCGAGTGCATCTCAATATTAAACGTCAAAGCTCTGATGTAAGAAAAACCAAATAGTTTAGAGCCTCTTTACCACAGCACTCAGTGAAGTTGAGAACAAGGAAAAGTAGGGCTCTTCTAATGCTTCTGTACCTGCACCATCCCTCTCCCCCTGCCCTGCTAAACACAGTGACAACACAGCTTTTGATGTTTCAAATTCTTCATGGCTTTTTATAGCAACATCACACCAGAGCACCTCATTTCAATTTTTGATTTATCACAAAACCCAGGAGTTTGTTATAAGAAATATCAATAAAAGCTTTAACTTTTCACCAGCAATTTCAAACTCTGAATTAACACGGAGATAACCGTGAACTGATTGTGTTTTAATCTCCTTTCTTTAAGTCACAGCAACAACTAATACAGGAATTATTACTGGGCTATTTTTTTTTTAAGAGAAAAGGACAGCAAAATATCTGGTTATTGTAACCAGAAGAAGCTGCAGTTGAAAAGAAGGAGATAAAACAGAATGCTCAGTCTCATTACTGACCTGCCAGAAAAGCATGATCCAAGTTGATTCTGGAGATGATGTTAACCCATTCCAAAATTCCATAAATGCTAAAGAACACAGCCTTTCCTACTGTTAGGTAACTTTACAAATACAATATTCATAATCAACACCACCAGCTCTCAAAGCACTTTTCAGACAACAAAACTGTCCTGGAATTTCACAAACGATGTTTCTGAGCTGCCACTTCCTCCAGACTTTGTAGATACCGATTTCTGTAAATTTAAATAATCTTTTACCACCACTTAGATATTGTTTATGGCTGCTGATTCAAAAAAACAAGGAAAAAAGGGTATTAATCTGAAGTGCATAAATTATCCCACTACTACAACTGTAAATCCTGAAATATATGCTTAAGTGCCAGAAGTCACAGCACAGGTACCATATAAAATGTTTTGACCTTTGAAAGCTTGAAAATAGGACACATTTTCTTATAAAAGCTCATTTTTCACTCACACCTCTATAAAAACCCAGTCCTTTCTTTCCATGTCCCCAAACTGTCTTTCCATTTGAGCTCAGTATATTCCATACATGTGCCACACAGTAAACTGATTCATCTTGCATTACTCAGCTTTTTTCAGCACAGTATTCAGTAATCCTCTTCTCCTATGACCTAGGCCCATATTCCAAACTATAAAGCCACAGTAATAAGACCTTAAATATTTTTAGAAAGACAAACTGCCATAAATTGGCTTTTTTTCTCTATCTCAAAATACATTAATATGTATTTAAAAAAAAGAGTAGGTAAATCAAACTTTGGCTGTAAAAAAACCCCACCTTCACTACTGCCCTTTTAAAATAGGTAAAGAGAAACAACCTCATCTAGAAATTAAAAATAGCACGAGTAATTTTACCATCTTTTCAAATTTCGCTGTTACTCCCCTGGAACAGACTGACCTTATTGGCTTTGCTTATGTAAGCAGTAATAGATTACCTGGCTGGAATTTTTCACTTAAGCGGTTTTATGCACATTTTATGCTCCACTGATCTCTCTCTGCTCTCCTTTTTTTTGTCTTGCAGCTTTCCCACCAGCCATCCCCCAGCAGGGAGCTTTTGCTGCTCTCCAGCCACCTCAGCGTTTTGTAAATGGGTAAGATGCAGGTCACAGCCAGGCTGGAGACGCTCCTGGATCACAGGCAGACACTTCTTCTGCTTGGACACACCGATAAATCTGTCCCCAGCAGCAGAGCCAGCACTCACTGCCACGGCAGGGCCGGGAGGAACCTCCTGCTGCCAAATGTCCTCCAGTAATTCCAAAGGCAAAGGGATGGGTGTTGGACACCAACATCAATTACCTGATGTCTTCTTTGGCTCACAATGGGATAAAACAGAAAACACTTCCTGAACCCCTGTCTTACATCCAGTTCTTCCTTTCGGGGCTCAGTCCCAGCTTGTCACAGACTCACACTCATTTTTTGAAGAAAACTATTCTAAAGAGCCACAGTCCTCACCCATCTGCAGCCCTGTGATAGACATGCTCAGTTTCTATGGCATTTCACAGGAATATCATGCAGGTAAGGTACCTGAGTTATTCCTAACTGTCCTTCCATCTATTTGGAGTTGTATTAAAATAGCTACAGATAGTGCAAACAAAACACTGACTTCACTAAATCCAGTACCTCAGTCATGTGATCACTAAACAGGAGAAGTACCAGAAAGAGAAAAAAAGAGAAAATAAGGAAAACCTTATTTTATAGCCTGAACATGAAGTCATGTTGTTCCCCAATTTCTGTAGGTTCAGGCCTCCATGATCCTTATTTTCACTCATTTCTAGTTTTGCAATAGAGACATTTTTAAAAATTTTAGGAACCTTTCATGCTCCAACAACAGCAACCAATGTGCATGGCAAATAAAATTTGCATGCAAGAAGTAAGACCTCAAAAGTTTGGATCACCACCAGTGTCAGCATCATCCTCTCATTCGATGTTTGCACAAGCTTAAGGACAAACGAATCCAGATGCAATCCAAAGACTGATGCTGCACACATAAATTCAACTCCTCTTATTAACAGTCCTCTCCAAATAATCTCCAAGGAAGCATCCACGAAATCCGTTTCTAGACAGGTCTTGTCACATATCATTAAACATCATTAAAAAGGTGGTACTTGTAAAAACTCAGCCAAAAGGCAAAAGTTCACATTAAGGATATTTTTTTTTTCTGTTTAGAAAAATGAGAAAATATTAAACAATGTGCAAAACAAAGAGACTTTATTCATTTTAACACCGTATTCGATTTGGAACTCTCAAGCACTGCAGGCCAGAAAAACAAACTAAATACATGTACATTCTGCATAGAAGGCTTTCTAATTCTTACGAGAAACCAGAGATGCCTGTTAGCATTTTAGCTGCTGCTGATTGCCTTCTGAGCTGCCAATCCTTGTTTGGGTTTTGAGTAGTCCCAAGGTCTCCTGTTCTCCGTGTACCCGTAGAGCTTCCGCAGGGCCACCCGCGCAGCCTCTTCCTCTGCAGCCAGCAGCGTCTCCCCAGGGCCTTCAGCCAACATCTTCTTGTCACTTGGGGAGAAGAAAGGAAAATTACAAATGTTTTCCCCAGGAAATCATCAGCACTGCTGTGTACCGTGAATAAAATAGACTGGTTTTTTTCCCCCCAGTGTTCTGTGAATACCGAAGGTGATTTCTATTACACGCAATCTGAACATTCCTGTTGGTCTTTCCTGCAAAGTGACTGCATATTCAGCAGTGGGAACTCAGATCAGGAATGTGTCCATTTCTTGGAATAACACCACTCTGTTCATTTAGATTCCTAGCATATTATGGATTCTTTACAGCATTCGATTTGTTAACCCTGTTAAAAACATGCAAATTCCTTACTCTGCTTCCCTTAAACAGGAACTGAAATGCCTTTGTCTTGGCTCCTCCCCTGGTAAGGAAGCATTTTCAAACTGCTTCAAAAGGCCTGATAGAGAAGCTCTCTCTCTGCTCAGCTCTGCTTAATCAACACCTGTGGGCACTGAATGGGAGCAGTTCATGAAGCGACACCAGGGGTCCCAGAAGAAAAATAATCCAAGTTGCTTTCTTTTTATTAGAAGTTACATAAACCAAAGCATGATAAATCAGAACAAATTAAGGCAGCCTTCCCAGGTGTTTATCTGCAGTTCATTCAGCAAAGCAGCAGTGATGTGGGTTTTGTCCTGCCCCAGAGAGGTGATGTCACCCTGGGGCAAGAGACCTGACCACACTTGACACAAAAGCACTGGGGACAACTGGCACTTCCAAGTCTTCCCTGGACACAGACACTCCTCTTGCCTAGTTTTCAGTGCCTGTGATTTCAAAATTAAAAACCTTCTCTGGAATATAAAATGAGACTCTCTTCAATCCCTTGGTGACCCTACCCTTCCCAAAGCCCTGGATAAGCGATCCCTCCACAGCCAGGCAGCTGTGATGTTCTTCCCTCCTCCCCTCTCCCCCAGTTAAATCCATGCCATTTTAAATGAATACTGTACTAACCAGTACAACCCAACAAAGTACACTGGCAGAACTGTGCTGACTCCCAGCTGTCTGGTAATTCTTGGCTCTGGAGCAGAGATATTCCTCTTGGCCAGTTCTTCCACCAGTAAGCCCATAGGATTTACAACTTCCCAGATCTCAAACAGGTCTTTTCCGATCAGCTGGGGAATTAAGAAGTCCTAAACGAGAAGAATTTAGAAGTTACAATTAATGGCTTGAGCTTCTGGTGTCTCCTAATGAAAACACAGTATGAAGAGGCATTAACACAGCTGACAACAAACTGTGAAATGAATGAGACAGATGCCTCAGTGCCCCATCCTGGTGGAGCAGAGCTGATACACTGGGCAGCTCTGGCTCTGGTTTAGCCACTGACAGAGTGTCCAGGGCAAAGTCAGCCCCCAGACCCAGGGAAGGAACAGCACCAGCCTGAGAGAGGACCTGTGACAACAGACGTGAGCAAGAGTTCAGCAACGGGCTGGGGCTAAGCAAGAACTTGGCCATCACATGAGTTCTGCACACAGGCTGGAGGGAACAGGCAAACCCTGAGGACTTCAACCTGTTTGGATTACTCTCTTGCTTGTAAACTGCTGCTTGCTCTTAAAGAGACCTCCAAATGGTCTTGTATGAGAAAGAAGATTTTAACAAACACTTCTCCGTTGCAAAACTAAGTTAAAAGCATGACTGAAATGACACCACTTACTAAAACTACTTTGTTATACTGAATTCAACGTTTTTGTATGAAATATCTTTAGGTGCTTGCACGCCTACATGCAAAACCTATAATCTCAGGCCCTGTTTATATAAAATGTATTTGTGTTTGTTTTTTTTCTTAAATTTAAGATATACGTGATCTCACATGGAATAATTTCATTACCTGATAGTACAGTACATGGAATACAATGCTTTCCCTTAGCAAGTGTCAGCAAATACTAATATCACCATTGTAAATCAGAAGTATGTGCTTCAGCCTGTGCTTCTTAACGACAAAAAAAGAACCCAACTCAAAAACCCCAAAACCCCACCTGACCACCGCCACCACCCAAGAGATGTCATTATCAAATTCTCTCGTTACAGGTACTGGCAATTTCCCCGGAGTTCTGGCCGTCGAGGCACAAAAGCCAGTTCACTGGACGTACCCTGACAAAGATGCCCGTCCTCTCCGCCCCGCTGCTTTCCAGCAGGGCTCCTATCACGGCCAGGAACGTCCTCCGCAGCACCTGCGGCGGGGCGGGGAAGTCCCTGCAAAGCGCCAGGTCCTGGAGGGAGAGGTTTCGAGCCACGAACGAGACGCGTTCCTGCCCGGTGAGGAAATCCACGAGGGCTCGCACGCCCTGGGCGGGTAAGGCGGGGTAGGCGCTCTGGAAGCGCTGTGTGAGGTAGGAGCGGGCGAAGCGCAGCCCCTGCTCGGCCAGGCTCGCGTTGTCCCGCAGGCTCAGGGCGACCGCGTCCTTGTCCACGCCGAGCCGCCGGCGCCGCTCCGCCTCGCCCTCCAGGTAACAGCGATTGACGAACGCCGTCTTGAGCAGCTCCAGGGAGAAGTCCTCCTGCAGGCGGTGGCTGAAGGCCTGGATCTCGGCGTGGTAATCCCAGTTGGGCTGCTCGGACCTGCGGGAAGGGCACCGGCTCAGGGACAGGGCGAGCTACCCGCGAGCAGCTCTCGGGCTGCTCCACGGGGAACGAAACTGCGCCTGAACGGCACCAAACCCGGCGTTTAAATCCGCGCCGCGTGGGTTCCGCATCACCCCCTGCCTGCCGCGCTCAACCGGGGCTGCTTCGCCGACCTGCGGAGCCAAACCCATCCCTCTCCGAAGCGCGACGAGACGGTGCCCAAACGTTTTGATTCCCCCGATTTCTGGGGCCCCGGTTGCATCCCTCCCCCGCCCGGCCCTCACCGCCGCCGCGGCGGCGCCTGCAGCCGCTGCATCTCCAGGTGCGCTCGGAGCCATCGCTTCTTCTCGGGGGGGGGCCCGGAGCCGAACGCGGCGCCCAGCGCGGGGCCCGGCACGCCCCGCCCGGGCCCGGCCGGCGGCAGGAGCGGCCGCGCCGCCCGCAGGAGCAGCCGAGCGGCCATGGCGGGGTGGGCGGGGATGGGCAGGGACCGCCCCGGCACCGCCCCGCTGGTTCCGGGAGGAAGCGCTGCCGGCCGGGGAGCGGAACCGGCCCCGGGCACGGCCGGGGGACAAGGAACAGCAGCGGGGCCCGCCGGGGGCCCGCTCGGGCCCTCGGGGTGTCTCGGGGCGGGACCCTCAGGCCTGGCTCCCTCGGGGCGGGAGAGCGCTGGGAGGGCGGAGCGGTCCCGGGGTGACCGAGGAGGAACTCGGGGCGGTCCCGGGGTGACCGAGGAGGAACTCGGGGCGGTCCCGGGGCAGCGGCGCTCCCCGAACGTTCCCATGAGGAGCCGTTCCTGAAGTCTCTCCCGAGTGCCATTCCCACGTGCAAGACGAAGTCCGGTTTTGTGCCCTCAGAAGAAGCTTTATTTTTAAGTGTCGCCTGTACAGTTCTTTGTACAATCTCTCAACCCTCGTTTGCACCACTGGAGTTCATACAGTGCACCTTCAGCATAAAGGTCATGGTATAAAACTCATGAAAATACAAAAATGTGCAAAGCAGGCCTGGCCCTTCGTATTGTCTTTCACTAAAAGACAAAGGCACGCACTTCAACATTCATGGTAAGACAACATGCCCAGCAAACACCCCGAAATAGCTGATGGAGTTACATAATACCGTAAACCCTCCCTGGGGAAGGGGCTGTGGCTGGGCAGGGGCACAAAGCACAAAGACACCAGCACCACCCCACAGTGTCTGCCAGAAAAGGTGCTGGATCACGGGATGAGCAGGGGATGTTCAAACTGACACAGTATGGAGGACACCAGGCTGGCTTCCCAAACACCACCACCACAACAGGCAGGAGAAGGGAACCTACAAAGTCTGGCACATGCCCACCTGCTACTTTGAAGCTGTTCAGGCCACCACTACTAGTTCCTCGAAAGACTAATAGTTTAGATGAAACCTCAAATAAATTTTCTTAAAACAATATTAAACAATGGCTTGGGGTTGGGTTTTTTTGAGAGTTTTATTAAATATACTACATCAATATCTTGTACTCCATTATCTTTTGACCACTCACAGACTGACTTGCTTAAAAACGTATTTTTTAGAAAAACATCTGCAAAATTAATACGTATTGCACACACCTCTGGACAATCTGCATGTTAGCAAAGAATTCCTTTTATTATTTGACCCGAACAAGTACTTAAACAGGGAACATACTCATAAACAGGACACACTCCTTGATCATGGCACACCTCAAACTACTCGGACTAAAGGAAAACTAGTGCAATTGTTTAATTGCATCTAACAACAGAACAATAAAAATGACTTTTTATTCCTTTGTTTTTGTTTTTTCCCAAACCCATTCTACTTGTTCTCTTCCCGCCACAGCAAAACCTCCGGTGGTTAGTCCTGGAGATCACTCAAGAGTCATTCCACTGTGTGAAGCAAACTTCCCATGGGCTGATCCATGTTTACACAGAAGCATGCAAAGGAGGATACTGCAGTATTTGCAATGCAAATCTATTAAATGTACAACTGAACAACAAGGTGTCCCTTTAACACTGCAATTCTAGAGCCTTTACCTGTGGTGGAAGTTTCCAGTGTGCGAATTATAAAACAGCCATACCGATTTCAGAAACAGAAAGGAGGGATTTTGCAAATTGTTTGTGTTTTCAGCTGCTGAATCTTTCTGAGAGCCGTGTCTAGCGCCGAAACCAAAGCCAGCTGTTGAGTAGCCAGAAAGCTACAGTGATTGAGTACATGATCATTTCCCTCTTGGCTCGCTCTTTGTTCTCCTCTTCCAGAAGTTGTAGACGGCGATTAAGTTTGATTATCTAAAAGCAAATAAAGGCTTTTAATACTTCGTTAAAAGCTGCCAGACTTTCTAGAAGCTTCTGAATAACTACGTTAAGATTAGCATCTCAAACGGATGGATGTTAAACAGCTGATAATTTGACTTTCTATCTTCAGATCTTGCTGCCCCCAACACAGGACATGTGAGGGCAGTCCAGCAGGGGCACAGAGGGATCCCTTGCCCACACCTGTTATGGGTACCTTTGCAGTCACACAAAAAACCCATCACCCCATTTTACCACCACAGCTTTGTCTTAATATTGTCAATTACTGTGCTTCACGTACCTGTCTTCTCAAGGAAGCGGCATCTACAACTGTCATGTCATCTGGCGTTCCCTCGAGTGTCGAGTCGAAGTTGGTGAGACCGTATCTACCAAACAAAGCAGATGGCATTGCTGTTTCAGCCACACAAGGATTAGCAAGTACCATATTTTACCAATGTTCCAGTAGGTGTATTTTTTTGGTGGTGATGAAGAATTACAACAATTTTTGGCAGCTGTTACAGAGCCGTATTTCAAAAGGATCTTAAGTGAGTAAAGCACAAACACGTATGAAGTGGGTAGGTGCTTCACTGAATGTGGGTTGATTGCTCTCCACGTGTAAGTGTTTTTGAAGATTCTCCATACAGACAGGCTTCTTGCTGTCACACAGTTCCTCAGAAGACTTTCCAGTGATTTAACTGATTCGTGAAACCTGAACATTGTCTGAGCTAAAGCGCCAGTTGCAAGAGACCTGGCAGCAGATTAGAAATAGCCAAATGGAGACTTGTAAAGAACAGACAAATTGTCAAGTTTAAATGTATCAGTCTGTTAATACATTGTTTCTAAGTAAGAATTGTTATTTCTAGATCAGAGTTGCATTAGCCTGGACTTAGGGTAAATATGAGATCCTTGAGCTTTGCACACTCCAAAAAAAATAATAATAATAAAAAAAAAATATCGAGTTTTCCTTACTCTACAGGTCCTCTGAAATCCAACAAGATTTCTGATGAGGGTCTTCTCATGGCCATTTTTTAATTTGTGGTAGATAGTAAAAAATTTAGAAAACGCCACCAGATCTACAGCACAGTTGTCCCTCCCCATCTCCTGGGACAGGCAGGGAGGCTCAGCATTTCAGTGAGATGGGCATGGCTCCCTCCCACCTCACACCAATTTAAGATAAAATCAGTGTATCACTGCTGCTCTACCAGCTTTCAAACCATTCCAGATATTAAATTAAGAGGGTTACCAGAATGAAATCCCTCGAGATATCTCTTGGACCATTCCAAAAACTGAATTGCAGAGTTATAGAAGAGTCACCTGCTTGAATCCAGTTTCTACTGAAGCCCAAATCTAACCTCCAGTTCTATGAAAACACAGAATTGTAAAGAGCAAATGGAAACAACAGATGTAGAAGGGACTATTTTTTTTTTTTCCCATCATCCTGCCCATGAAATGATGTGTCACTCTTACATCCAGTCCCACTGAAACAATGCCAATCTGCCAGGGCCATGGCAGGGAAAAGGCATCCAGCCCCAACTCACAGGCCCATTACTGAGAAGACCTGCAAAGGTTAGGTGACAAAAAGGCAAATTTTCTAGCAAGCTCATTACTAAATAGCAAATACCTAAACTATTTTGCCAGTGTAATTTCAGAGCTTTCCCCTCACACATCAGTCTGAGTCAGAATTCTGTAAGAGTTGAGAGGGAGCACAAAAATCTTGCGTTTTAAAACAAGATCAGAATAAACAGAAAAGGGGGGAAACGGAAACCTGAATTTCAGAATCTAAATTAGTGGATCGTGACTAACAAAAAAATACTCTTTACCTGGTGTTGTCATGATGAGGGTTAGAGGAAGTGGTAGCAGCTGACCCACCACGTAACACTGGCCTACAGCAGGTTTGTGTGGATAGAAAGCACGAGACAGACACAGGAAACGACAAACAGAGATAAGAGGTAAAACACACAGAACAAAGGAACTTCAAAATACTTCCACATATACTCTATGTTTTAATACAATATACCTTCTGTTCATTTTGGTGTAAATCGCTCTTTCATGTTTTTCTCATCAAATTTAATCAACACTGAATGTTTTTGCAGCTAAGAAGTGTAACGAGATTTGGATGGTACACCCTCATTTATGGAAGACAAACCAGTGGAATAGAGATTTGGGTGGAGATTATCAGCCTTATAAAACAACCATGGGAAACTTCTGGTTACAAAAAAACAACAACAAAAAAATATCCCCCAAAACTAAAAATCTCACCCAACAGCAATGGGTAAACAATAAATGTATTTACACATACTTGTAAAAGCCCTTTTAATCATCCTCTCCTCTCTCTAGGGAATGGGGAGATTTATCTTTTCAGTATTCATTTATACTAGATATAATTTAGATATAATTTGAACACCTGGGCTAGTACCTAAGGACCATGGATAGCTGAAGAGAGGTACATCTCTCCAGGAAAGAGGTGACTACAAGCTTCAAGCAGATGTATGAACATCCTGGTAAGTGTTGCTCTTTAAATTTCTTTTCCTTTTCCTTCCTAGGCAAAGAGGAAGGAAAGGCAGGGCTTTTTAAACTGCTGCAACTCTGTCATACACATTGGGCTTGCAGGAAGAAGCTCCTGTGTTGCAGTTTACAGAAGAGGTGAATACCAGCAGTGCCTTCTGCCCAAGCTGGTCCTGTGTGTTTTCAGTGCCTCTGGTAACCAAACATGAGTGTTACACATCACAGGTGTGGAACAAACTGCTCAGGAGCTTGAAATCGGTGCACACCACAATGTTCTTCTCTCTGGCACTTCAGATAAACCAGCATGATGTGTTTTACAAAACAGGAAGCCCCATTTCCAATACATACATTAACAGAATATTCCTACCTAAGTGCATGAGGTCTTCCAAAAAGTTATCAAATTAAAAAGGTGTTCCTAACAAGAGCAGTAATTCAGGTAGCCTGGAGTATTCTCTGACAGATGCTACAATGACATACTCTGAGAAAGTGTAAGAAATGGAGCAAACAGCAGCTATGGAAAAGGTCACAGAATTTCTCTGCCAACAGCAGTCACCTGTCACTTGCTGGCAGATATGGGAATGTCGGTGTGCCAGGATCCAGCAGGCATTTCCCACACCACTGTCCCACAGGACAACATTTGGAATTTGTGTAATGAGAACAGTGGGTCTCAAATGCTCTCTAAGCTCAGCCT